TGAAAAAAGGCCAACTTTCTTAGCCTGACATTTAAAATTCACCTATTCCTAATCTATCTTTCTCCTTTAATTTTTATTTTTGCATCAAAAGTTATTACTAGAAAAATAGCAATTAATTACATTGGCCATAACAAAATGTTGTGTACATTTTGCTACCTTCTTAACTTCTTAGTTGCTTCCTGTATGTCAAGGCTCTACCTAAGACTTATAGAGGGTATGACTTAACCTATAGAAGGGCTGGCCTTGCTGGTGTAAATTCCTACAAGAGTCCATAGTCAGAAACTGACCCTCTGGGTTAATAACCAAGAGAGATCTGAGAGATCTAAAATGAGTCCATTTCAGGATATGATGATAATGGGGGGCTTTGAGAAGACTGCACAGGAAAAGGTTAGTCACACGGCCAGCACTGAGACCTGAAAGTGGGTCCTGGATAGAAGATCCACAGAGAACTAAATATCAAGTTCTAGAAAACATAATTTTAAAAAATGAAAACAATGTGGCATTACAGGTGAGCACATAAATCACCCATCAAGAAATGGAGCAAATATGCTGAAAGAATCTTAAAAAAAAAAATTCGCTGAAGTCGAACGCAGACTCTCACAACAATGCTAGTTGGTACATAGATGCCAATGGGTTCCTGAAACAGTTACCTAGCAGGGGAAGCCTGTACTACAAGGGGTCCACTCTCCAAACAATAATTCTGGGTTTTGGGGGAACTCTATAAAACTTTTGCTATAGAGATTAAGCATGGATTAAGCATGAATTCTGCGACCCATGGATTTAGTCAACCTTCTCAGCAGAAGCCAGGAATACAGATGGGTTTATCCAGGAAAATCATGTCTACCCAGAATCATATGTTAAAGCCTTAACTCCCATGTGACTATATTTGGAGACAGGGCCTTTAAAAAGATAAGCTTAAACAGGACTGGTGTCCTAAGAAGAAAAGACACCAGAAGGACACACACATAGGAAAGACCACATGAGGACACAGCAAGGGTGGCCATCTGCAAGCCAGGGAGAAAGGCAACCAGCCAACACCTTGATCTTGGACTTTCAGCCTCCAGAACTGTGAGAAACAAAATGAATCTCTGCTGTGTATGCAACCCGGTCTGTGGTATTGCATTTAGGCAGGCCTTGCAAGCTAAACATTGGGTGGGCAAGGCAGAGAGTCTGACAGGCCAGATCCTGGCCGAGATCAGTAAAGATGGCCCATCTTCACTATGCTTTCCTTCACCCAACTTCCCTTCCTTCCTGGGGCTCTCCATGGCCCCAAGGGAATCATGCCACCTTATGACAGAGAGTATATGCTCTGTCTCTTAGACTCCAAATAGGCAGAATCTATGTTTCTTTCATGTCATCCAGAGGCTTCTGCTACATGTAACAGAGACTCATTACATGCTTGACGGTTGAATAATGTGTTCTCTGGTTCTTCCCTGAATTAGGGTTTTTGTTTTGTTTTGTTTTTTGAATCGGAGTCATATTCTGTCGCCCAGGCTGGAATGCAGTGGCACAAGCACGACTCACCACAGCCTCAACCACCTGGGCTCAGGCAATCCTCCTGCCTCAGCCTCCCAGGTAGCTGGGACTACAGGCATATGCCACCATTCCTGAACATTTTTTTGCTTTTGTAGAGAAAGGTCTCACTATGTTGCCTGGGCTTGTCTTGAACTCCTGGGCTCAAGTCATCTTTCTGCCTCAGCCTCTCAAAGTGCTGGGATTACAGGTGCGAGCCACCATACCCAACTGAATTAAGGGTTCTTAACTTCATAAAAGCCTGAATGGGGTATTGGGGGTTTCTCAGATAGCCTTTAGGAGGGGGCCCACAGCTTCATCAGATTCTCAAGAGGAATCTTAATGCTAAAAGTTACAAAAAATACTCCAACTTAGATATGGACATTTGTCAGATCCTCTGACCAACACTGATGTCATGCTGGTTCACTTACAGCAAAGTAACGAGCTCTCTGTCAAAGTTCTCCCATTTCATTTGAACATGGCGTACGTTTTCTAAATCTGATCTGTAGTGGCATCTGTTAGGTGGGTGGTGTGGTAGGTTTATTGTTCTCAGTTTTATGAACTGCAAACTATTTTAGAAATGACAGCTTCAGACAATACAAGTTTGGATATCTACCAATGAACATTCCCAAAATAAAGCCATACTTAAAAGACATTGTGTATTCAAGGTCCTTTTATTTATTTTTAATTCACTTTTCTCTCTTGTTATAAGAAATACAGTAAATCTTTTAATATGTCATAAATTAGTAAGCCAACCTATAAATTTCTCAAAGTTTTGCATCTACAAATGTACTCTCTAAGCACATATTTACATTAAGAGATGAATCTGACTTGTTAACCAAACTTTGTTTATGCTAACATAGATTTACATTTAAAAAATTTTATCATTTCACAGAAATATAAAATATCAATTTCAGTATTAGAAAAATATATATTTTATTTAGTCAAATCTTTTTTTCCAGAACTCTCTAGCTAGGACATTGTCTATATTCTTCCAGAATGGATGTGATTACCTGAAATCAATCTCACAATGTCATCTCAAGTAAACAGGGAGCACTTGTTAGGATAAGAAGTTAATATTTGGGTTCATGAGAAAATTTCCTTTAGCCAATTAAGGCAAAATCTCCAGAAATGCTTTTCCTACGTACCATGCAAGAGTCCTTCTACGCCTCCGCCCCTAGCGAAACTGTTAGAGAAATGGTGTCTTCCACACTTTTTTCTTTTTTTTTCTTTTCTTTTTTTTTTTTTTTTGAGTTGGGGGTCTCTGTTGCCCAGGTTAGAGTGCAGTGGCACAATGGTGGCTCACCACAGCCTCGACCTCCTGGGCTCAGGCCATCCTTCTGCCTCAGCTTCCCAAGCAGCTGAGATTACAGGTGCGTGCCACCACACCCAGCTTATTTTTACTTTTTTACTTTTTTGTAAAGATGAGGTTTCGCTATGTTGTCCAAACTGGTCTCGAACCCCTAGGCTCAAGCAATTCTTCTGCCTCAGCCTCCCAAAGCGCTGAGATCACAGCCATGAGCCACCGCGCCTGACTATCTTCCAGATGTGCACAGAGGCCGGGGAAAAGCCCATCCAAGCACAGCCTACCCCTTCATCCTTCCTCTGAGGAGACTGCTCACACCCTAGACCTTGGCCAAGGAAAAACATCCCATTGTCTCAGGCAAAAGGACGTCACATCCTTTCATTCTGTCCCTGGAAAGGCAGTTTGGAGCAAGTGATCCTGATCCTGGAGACGTGAGATTGTTCCCAGCTGCACTAGCACTTGTTTTGGTTCCTAGGCAAATTGCCCAGTTTCCCCTGCTCCCAAATTTCCCCAACTGCAAGATAGAGATAATTCTTGTTACCTTTCTCTTGCAGTGTTCTGAAAATAAACAGGGAAAATGTTTCTAAAGTGATTTGAGAGAGATTTGGCCAAGGGCATATTCGCCTAGAATTCTAGGTGGGATTTTTGTTTTGTTTTGTTTTGTTTTGATCTGTTTTGCTTTTGGCCAGCCTTTGACATATATTTAGAAAATCTGACTTGAATTAAATTACAATTATTCATCTGATGTTAATGGAGCATTAACAAGTATGCAAAATACTTCCCCTGCCTTCAAGGACCTTACAGCTTTCTCAGACATGGATATTACAGTTATATCATATATTATAGTATATACTGGGAGTGTCAAAAAAATGTGTACACATTTTAAGAGATGTTCGCCATAATCAGAAGTGTCTGGAAGCTGATGGTAATCACTTGGAGTACCTCTTGTAATTACAGAAGTCAAATGTGACTTGTGCTCATCTTATTGAGTATTATAATTTTAATACAGTTTTTTCCTTTCTTAAAATGTCTACATATTTTTGGTATCCTCTGCATATATATCATATATGTATAGTTTGGAGGTATTGCAGATGAATTGTTACTCATCTGTGGCCATCAGCCAAGGTGGCAGGTTGGAAATACCACCCTACAAGTTACCATTGGAGAACCAAGAAAAACCACTCAACCTTCCTAAGCTTTGGTTTCCTCTTATGCAAATGATAGTAGCTAACATTTATTGAGTGCCTAATAGGCTGGGGGAGGGAGGTGTTCTATACAGCTTATCTGTATTAACTTACTTAAAACTCAGATCAATTGTCTGATAGCTATTATCATTTCCGTGTGTGTCCCTCTCTTGTAGGTAAGGACACTGAAACTTCCAAAGGTTATGTCACTTGTCCCAGTTCACACAGCTGGGAAGTAATGAAGACAGGATGCAGACCCCAGCTGCCTGGCCTCAAACCCTGCCGACTCTATCACTGTATGGTATGCCCCCCCTCAAATGGGAACATTGTAAAGCCTACCTCAGATAGACTTGAAAGATCAACTGAATCCATGCACAAAAAACTGTCAGCATGGTGACTGGCACATAATAAATGTGCCATAAATGCAGAAGGGGCAGAAGAGATTCAACACATCCATAAAGAACCAGAATGCCGCATCGAAAATGAGCACACACCTCCAGTCCACTGCGCAGGAAAATGCCTGCGTATTCTAGCCCTGGGGTAATCGTGGGGAGCCGTGTTGAGGGGAGACCGATCTATGAGCTGCGATATTTCTGAATCAGCACGCATGTGATCTATAATATAAGGAGTGATGGCTCACACACTCATACATGTAAATTTCAAAAGCACATTCCAAGGAGGTTAAGGTATCTGAAGTTCCCATCTGTTAAAATTTAGATCCTGTCTGAGAGAACAATTTCCAGTTGGGTGATATAAAAATGCATCTGCTGCGGATGCAATTCTTCTTCCTCCCTTCCTAAACCCCTGCTCCCCAGTTTCCTATAGGAAGAAAAAACAGCATGGGGTTTCTTTTCAAAGACTTAAAATAAAAATCCCCAAAAAAGGGACGCTGCTTATAAAACCTTTCAGCGTTGTTTGAAAAAGGAAGCGCGCGCGCGCGCGCACACACACACACACACACACACACACACACACACACACACACACACACACAAAGAGCCAAGTGCGTATATTCTGGCCAAGTTATGAGCCTCTGAGAATGAGAGCTTGAGGCGAGGACTGTTAACCCCATCCACGCCACCAGAATTCGGTCTTTCTCTTTTGGTTTGCACTGCCTGGAAAGCCCTTGGAGTGAGAGGCCAGCCTGCTAGAGAAATCCAGAAATCTGCAACAAAAACGATGACAGCCTGAAACACTCCCTGTGCCAACCTCCAAATTCTCGTCTGTCACTTCAGACCCTGACTAGTTGACAGAGCAGCAGAATTTCAACTCCAATAGGCTTGAATGTGCCTCTGGGCACAGAAGCAGAGCTAACGAGGAAAGGGATTTAAAGAGTTTTTCTTGGGTATTTGTCAGACTTTTATTTCCTGGCTGTGTGCAAAGAGGGGGATTCAACTTCAGCTTTCTACAGAGGTTCTGGGTCCAGCCACCTCCTTGAAGGTAAATTTTAATAAGTTTACTGTGTTGTCTAATTGCATTTGTTAAACTGATTTGCATGATCGGATAAAGCTGCCTCATATTTTCACCTCAATAACACAAAGTCCCTTATTTACAAAAAAAAAAAACTTCTGTGTGATTTATAGCAAAGCTACTTCATAAAGAGTTTTACCATTTGTGTGCATGTTTTCTTTTTTCCTGCAAGATTAAATGGCAAGCACTAATAAAGGATGGTGTTTTTAATGAAGACCAAGAAGAGAAATATAGATCTGCTAATAGCTCAGTAGCATCCAGGTCTTAGTGAAGCCTGAGTCTCGAAATGTGTTTTGCAGAAGTACTTTGCTAAATATATGAAATAAACTGTAAAGAAAGTCATTTTTTAAAATTTCAAACCAAATAACTTATATGTTTTCCATGTTTACATTATCTAAAGTTATTCCATCACTGCCATAGTCCTAGGCAGTATTTAACAGCAATGGAGAAATAGAACATTTGCTTTTCCAAAGGGCAGGAAAATTCTTCTAACACTACATTCTTGTTTGATTGTTCTTAAGTGATTGTGATTATTAGCCCTTTCCAGATTCCCTTGTATAGCTTTATAACTAATTGCTTCTTGTCTCCTAATATCATTTGTTAAGATGCATACATACAGACATCAAGTTTCTCTCATTCTTGACGATGCCTTATTTACAAAAGCAATAAGGGGAAAAGAGAGTTAAAGATCTACAGAGATTATTATGACTTTGTTATAAGGTGCTATCATTTCGGGCTCTCTCTTCTCAAATAAAATAATGCAAATCGTGCTTATTCACTCTTCTCAGGTATTAAAGGTCACCCTGGAGGAGAAAACCATGCTTTCAACTGTAGATCAATACTGTTGAAACTACACACCACGAGGTACTGCGGAAAGAGTATCTCTTTGGCAACGCCTTTAATCTGCAGAGAGGTTAAATATGTCACCTTGGCGTTATATCTGAGCTTGCCTCTGGCCCAGGGCCTAAGCACACTGAATAGAAATGTTCACTCAGTCCAACTCAGCAGAAATCTTTTTTTAAAATTCTCCCCTTTCTCATAGATGTGTGGCTTTATTAGTTACAGTTTACTCATTTAAACCTCGATGGTTATAACTATTAACTATTATTTTTCTTAAAGACACACTTCTTTGGAAAGTTTCAAGTTTATATTTCTGTTCATTCATTAAGATCTAGCAATGCAAACAGTTTATTTCACCTACTTTTCATCCAACCATCTGACACCGCTTTCCATATTTTGGAGAAGAATACATGTGTGTTATGAATCTTGCTTTTTTTTTTTTTCTGAGAATTTTTGCACCACCATTGAGCAATTAGAGGGTTGGAGTTTTCTTTCCAGATCTTTTGAGATTTAATCTCCAATAGCCTCTCATGGCACAGTTTCACTTATCCACTCAGTAAAAATAATAAATCATGATGACAGAAATGAAATGAAGAGTGATATCCCTAGACAACTCAAAAAAATTTATTTCATTTCCTCCCGACTGTTATTTTTACTCGGTTGGCCTGAACATTGCTATTTGAGTCAAGTGTAGCACAATGTCCAGAACACGTTGGGAACCTTTTTCCACCAAAAACATAAACAACTTGTTAAAAGACTCCAGGTGCACTTTGCCCTCACCTATCGCTCTGGAAAGATCATCAGTGAAGGAAAAGAGGACCCCTATAAACCCAGGAGACTTTCCCGATAGGCCTGGCAGGCCAAGAGATGCCCAACCAGGCCAGGGATCACTGGACATCCTCTGTCAAGGGCTGAACCACAATGGTACCACCGGAGGCCAACCTGGCTCTTGTCTTGGCCATCAAAAGATGGGCAAAACTTTAGAAAACAAAGTATGTGGTCTTGAGGTAGGTGGACAGTCTAATCAAGTGAATATGACGCTGGGCTCCGGTTCATCTCTGACCATATAGACCTGGTTTATATCTGAACCTTACGACTAAATAGCTCTATGACTTTGGGCAAAAGACTTAACCTCTTTGTGTCTCAGCCCCCTCATTTGTGAATATGGGATCATAAAAGAAGTAACTGTCTCAGATATTCATTTTAAGAATTCAGATAAGAAAGCAGCTATGCCTTACAGATGAAAGCGGTCAATCAGCAGTCACTGATATGAAGGTAGTGGCCTACCAGTGTGCCCCTAATGAAACTCTGTAGAAAGATAATTGGGTCTAGGTGTTCCCTCAGAGTTTCTTCCTTGTACTTATACATGCTGCTCTGTAATAAGATGTCAAGGTCAGGTTTCTGTCTCCCAGTCAGCACGGCAGAGTGTACAGAGCATGGGCTTCAGAGTCAAATACACCTGGGCTAGAATCCTGACTCTGCCTCTGACAAGCTGAGTGAGCTTACACCGTCATGTCACACCTCCAGGACTCAGTTTACCCATCTGTCAAGCAAAATGGCAATAATAATACTCACACGTGGGGTTGTCACAGAAATCAAATGAGATGCTTATTAAACATCTAGGACAGCACCTGGCAGCATGTGAGACACAGAAAATGTTACTGGTTGCTTATAAGAAATGTCATCTATCTGCGAGGCATCTGTTAAGTACCGGGAATTATTTTTCTGGTAATAACACTGGGGATCAAGAAGCAAATATTCTTTGAATTGTCTTTCTTTTTTAATGCAAAGAAATGAAAACATAAATCTGACACCACTGTGTTCCCGTGGTGGGGCCAATCAACATGAGGTATTTATTACTGTGAGTCTTTTGTGCTGTATCAGTCAGGAGCTTTTGAATGGCCAAGTCGGATGAAACCAAAGCATTTTTTGTTTCAGCTTGCCGCTACACAGAGCGAGAAGTGCTGTTTTGCAGTCCATTCTGTTTTATTGGCCTACTTGGACAGGGGAGAAGGCCCCAACATTTTTTCTTTCTTATCTTTTCTAAAGGCAAGAATAAGGCTTTTGACTTGCTCGAGGGGACATTTTTTCCTCTCTGACTGACATTCAAACGAAAGAAGTTTTGGGGGGGTTCGTCTTTGTTTTTGTGAACCTCTCCCCTGGGTTCCTCACATTGAAATGTCAGCTGCTTTTTCTGGCTGCGTGTAGCAGGACAGCCTGTCGTCATAGCAATGAAAGGGTACAGGGAGACGGCGGCTTCATGACCCGCTCTGGGAAATAACTCTTCGTCTGCTTTAAAATCCTTCTTTAGAAATGAGGGCTCCGGTCCTGGCTTGTTTCTCCTGCCTTACACAACCAACTTATGGACTCCCATGGCAGTAGTTAAATGTTTCCTTTAAAGATTTAGTGAACAGGTATAAAGAAAATGAACAAGGAAATGACTAAAACAATGGCCAGTTGACTGGAGAGCACAGGAGAAAAACAACCAGAAAGGCAAAGGAAGAGACCACTTGATAACACGCACTGCATGGCCGCGTTAAGTTCGTCCTCCATGCTCCCACTGCCTCCTCCCAGCTTCCAATGTGCAGTGGTTCCTGGGGAATCCTGCCTGAGCCCAGATCCTGAACTCGAACTCGCAAATTGTTTTAATCTAGTCTACTCTGTGCCTCTGTCTTCTCATTTGTAAAATAGAGATAATAGCAATCATAAAATGATCATGGGACTTGAACGGCATAGTGCATGTGAGTCACTTGTTACAGTATCTAACATATTTTGGGAGAGAGTTGGAGTCTCACTCTGTTGCCCAGGCTGGAGTGCAGTGGCACAATCACGGCACCACAGCCTTGACCTGTTGGGCACAGGTGATCCTTCCTCCTCAGTCTTCCAAGCAGGTGGGACTACAGACATGTGCCACCATGCCCGGCCAATTTTTTGATTTATTGTAGAGATGAGGTCTCGCCAATTGCCCAGGCTGGTTTTGAACCCCTGGACTCAGGCAATCCTCTCTCCTTCACCTCCCAAAGTGTTGGGATGATAGGCATGAGCCACCGTGCCTGGCCAGTATCTAACATTTTAAGTAAATGTGTGAACAGTTGATGAAATATCCTCAGGAAACATTGCAATACATTATCTATTTGTACCTTTAGTTTGTTCAACAACTTTGGTTGAGGGTCTTTTTATTAGAAAAAATGAAGACGGCTTTGTATTTGAGGACTAATAAAAATGAAGACGGCTTTGTATTTGAGGACACCTTCTGTTTGAGTCTATGCAATTTTTGTAACAGTTGGCTGTTAGGGTCAAGAACTTCAGTTTCCCCCACTTGTGAAATGAAGATAATGGCTAATTCATAAGATTATTGCATGAATAGGTGTGATGACTCACACCTGCAATCCCAGCACTTTGGGAGACCAAGGCAGGGGGATCGCTTGAGACCAGGAGTTCGAGATCAACCTAGGCAACACAGCAAGATCTTGTCTCTAAAAAAAAATCAAAAAATTTGGCAGGTGCACTGGCACAAGATTGTAGTCCCAGCTACCCTAGAGGTTGAAGCAGGAGGATCGCCTGAGCCTGGGAGGTCGAGACGTGGTGAGCCAAGCTCATACCACTTCACTCCAGCCTGGGCAACAGAACAAGACCCCAACTAAAAAAAAAAAAAAAAAAAAGATTGTTGTATGATTAGCTAAAATAATGGATACACATGTTCAATCAGTAGTCATTATTGTTGTAATTATTTTTATGCTTAGGTCTAGCTCTGATAGGAATGGTCTTTTTTAAACTTAGAATCTCCCAGTGAATAAATTATAATTAATAGAATCTGATAGGAATGGTCTTTTTTAAACTTAGAATCTCCCAGTGAGTAAATTATAATTAATAGAGACCTCAGAATTATCATTGCATAAATGTGAGCCATTGACTTTCTAAAGAGAACAAAATAAGTAATTATGATTTTTTTTATTGTTACATTTATAAAGCACGAAGAAGACTCTTTTCATCTTGATTACCAGGGTAAAAGGATTAAACATCTTCCATCTTTAAAGTTTCTGTTTCAGTTTCTCCGGGGTTTTCTAGGTCATGCAACTGGGTAAATAAGTAATGTTTTTATCCTATGTCTCAAACAACTAATGTATTCA